GTACATGCAGAGTTCCCCTGTCCTCAGGTGTCGGCCGTGAAGCCAGAAATAGACCCTCGTGTGTTGCGTGCGGGAGTCTCACGGGAAGGTTCCTAAAGTAACTGGCAGCGACACCTGCGGCGAGTCGGTTACAGGAGAATGGAGGCAGGATTGCGAATCCCACCTCGGCTCAGCGCACCTGCCCGCGCACCGAGACGCTACGACCCGCGACCAGAGGTGCGCGCAGCGCAGTGACACCCCCCGCGGGAACGCATGTCCACGCAGCTGCCCGTGAACCCGGGTTTTCGGTGTTTTCCGCCGAGACGTCGCAGCTGTCCCTGCGGGGCAGGGGAGCACCTTCCAACCTGCCCGGTCACTTGGGTCCTGGGGCCACGGGCACCGCCACGAGACCAAAGCCCCTGGGAACCTTGCTTACCGTGTGGCTGGAGTGTCCGTTCAGGTGCAGGCCGCTGTCGAAGAGCGGCGAGGAGCCCCCGCTGCTGTGGTCGCTGCTCGGCCCGGGCGACCCTGCAACAAACAAACGGGAGACGCGCTGCGAGGGCGTCCCGGCGCGCACCCGCGGCCACCGCGGTGACTGCAGTGCCACCGCGCGCAGGCAGGCCGGCGGCAACAGGACGCCTGGTCGCCCTCGGGGCAGCCGAGGCCAGTTTCGGGCTGGGGCACCCAGGACGCTCTGCAGGATCCCGCCCCGCCCACGTCACACGGAAGAGGGGTCAGCAGGTGGCCCTGGGGGGGTAAGGGCTGCGCGCCCGGGGGACGGACGGCGGCGCGGATGTGCACACCCGACAGCTCGCGGCGCTTGCTGCGTTTGCGCTTTCTCCCACTAGAGCAAGGCTGGCTAATTTTCTGAAAATTATTCCAGACTTTCTGATTTTCATTTTCAAATGGTTTATTTCTTCAACATTTTCCAGTTATCTCTGCACTAAAAATTGCTTTAGAGGAAAACATACAGAGGAACCAGGTAAGTTTCCGGGCCGGGATATTAAAAAGGCAGGAAGCTGGCGTCTCCGCGGGGAGCAGGGTCAGGATCTGCGGGAACCGCGGTTCCAGCCTGGCCCAGACCCCAGGGAACCCGTGCGCGGGGCGGCGCTGCCTTCCCGGGAGTGGCGGTGGACCGCAGCCCCGCTCCAAGCCCCGCATGGGGCAGACCTCGGTGGGCCCGCCCTGGGGCATCCTGGGGACCTGTCCCGCACCCTCTTCCCT